TATGAGGGACAACTGCTTACCGATATTGTCTGGGAACTAAAAGTTAACAGCTAATGGAAAGAGATTTAATTTTTATACAAAGAAAATAAAACGTTTTTTGCATACTTTCCTGTCGTCGCAGTTCTAAAGTATAATTACCACTGCATAAAATTATTGTTCATCAAGAATCCTGCTAATTCAAAAGACATTTTATAATCAAAAAAAAAAATACACCAAGAAGATAAAAAAATGTAACTTACTTTTTTATCTGACGCAGTTTCGGGCCTTTCCGTCTCCTCTGCTATTGGTCGGAATGAAGTCTTTCCCTTTAACTCCTTGAGAACCCTCAACATGATAATTTTGTTTTTTGCCTAAAAATAATATAGGGTGAAAGATAAGACCTATATTTATGCTAAATAATTATCTGGAGATTAATTAAAAGTTGATTAATTTTTGGAAAACAAATGAGATTTGCTGAGAGGGAAAAAGGGAGGAAAAGGTATTTATTAACGAAGTGCTTCTCTACTAAGGGCTTTGGACCTAAAGCAGTGGTGAAGAAATTGCCGTTTTCTGATTTGCTTTTGAAAACTAGAATAAGCCTACCGCTAATATTCAGTTAAAAGACCATTTTGTAGCTAAAAGCATCCTTAATGATGCATGTTCCTTAGAGTAATTTTAGTATGCACATTATTCTCTTTGTTAAAACGATGGGAAAATTTTCAGTTCAAATAAAAACATTTTAAAAGAGAAGATTTTAATGCTTTTAAATATTATTTGATTAAAAATTACACTACATGTATACGGTATAATGACCAATTAAATAATTATTAATCTTTCTTTTACTTGCTGAAAAAAAATGTCATTACTTATTCATAAAACTTCACATATTTAAACAATGAAGATCTTTTTAATTCGTGCCTTTGCATTTATGTGGATTGCAAACATTTATCTAAACCATTTCTTTTCATATGTAGAGATAATAAAAGGTAAAAAAAAAATCTCTCTTCTCTGGATATTCCTTTTTCTGGCTTAATAACATCCCCATCATCAAAAAGAGCTACTTTCAATACCTCGTATCTCAGATGAAAACTGATAGCTCCTTGATTCAATTATTAATCTGTTAGCGCGGCCCCGAGGTTAGATGCCATATTTGATCTTAGATCTTTATTGGCGAAGTCTGCGATGAAAAATCGTACACTTTTGACCTACAGTATTTAATTTTCCGTATCTTTTGAACGATCGAGGACTGTTCATTCATTTTTTATACGTTTTGAGCGGAATTCTCTTTTATGAGGTTATTCACACGATAGAAATATTTCAATGTTTTTACTGGGGTGTTTTATATACAGTATATATTTCTTTTACTTTTCTGAATGAAATATAAAATATCCATTGTAAATATTTTCTCAATTAATCAGCTTAGGATATTAATTGTGCTATCTAAAAATCGATCTTTCAACAAACAAGACGGCATTGTATATTTACAGTTAACCTTTCTGCATTTGAAGACTTTTTTTTCAAACACGTTGTCGGGTTTAATAAGGATTTATGATTTCTCAAATGTACCTTTACAAGTAAAATTGGTTCTTCTCATGTATTGTTAGGAATGTAAGGCGTCCGGATTATTTGTGTCCGTATAACAGAAGGTCGACTGTATGGATGATTTGAAAAGTAAACTTAATATTGACAATTAAGGCTCAGTTAATTTACGGATATCAATTTCTTCCACGACAAATATTTCCTTTTGAATTGAGTGCAAAGGAAAAGCATTTCCTTTTTTTATTATCTATTCAGGTCCACTTTTAACCTTCATATCTTAAAGTTAAAGTCACAAATTATTTTTGCCTTAAAAATAGTTCTTGACGAAAAATTATTTTTCAATAGTTGTAGATCTAATGGGTTATAAAAATTTTATTTTTAAGTCAAAACACTTTTTCGTAGTTGCCACCATGTTTGTCATTAAAGAATATATTAATTTAGAAAAAAGATCAAGGCTAGATTACACGTGTAAAAGGAAAGTAAAACCGGAAGATTCTGATTGGCTGAGAGAAATCACGTGATCAGATTTGATTGGTAGAGGGGATAAATGGGTCAACTGAGTGGTAGCCCTAACCCTAACCCCCTAACCCTAACCCTAACCCTAACCCTAACCCTAACCCTAACCCCCTAACCCTAACCCCTAACCCTAACCCTAACCCTAACCCTAACCCTAACCCCTAACCCTAACCCTAACCCTAACCCTAACCCTAAACCCTAACCCTAACCCAAACCCTAACCCTAACCCTAACCCTAAACCCTAACCCTAACCCTAACCCTAACCCTAACCCAAACCCTAACCCTAACCCTAACCCTAACCCCCTAACCCTAACCCTAACCCTAACCGTGCAAAAAACATTGCAAGAATGTGATTATGACGTCACCCATTCATTCACAGTCTAGACAGTCCTATAACCAGTTTGAACTGGTTTTACTGAAAAAGAACAAAAACACACAAACAAGACAGATTTTGATTTTTTCAATTTTTATTCAAGTGAAAATATAAATTTACAAATTTCTGTTTCTTTTATCATTTTTCCTTTTGCCAAATTTCTAGTAGTTTTCTCCAATACACTGCCCTGTTGCATTCTTTTTGATCTGGATTTTTGCATGTAGCTTCTATTTTTTAATGTCCTGCTTTTTGTTTGACTTCATCTCCTCCTTTGTCATTCCCTGCAAACGACGATTGACACCTTGTCATCTCTCGCACGTCACCAATTCCTCATCCTCCAAAGGCTCTTTCTTTTTCCTTTTTCTTTTTTCTCTATGTCTTTTTCCATACATAGCATGGCTCCATTTGTTTCTTTCTCTCCTGATCCGCCCTGGGTCCCTTCTTTTTTTTTCTGGTCAGTGTTTCCTCCTTCTTCTCTCATTTTTGTCTCTTTCCCCGTGAATGACTTTGTGATTGGTGATAATAATCCACTAATGTAACAAAATCCACTGCTGTTATGACATTTCAGTTTTTCCATCTTGTTTTCAAGAGCACTCACCTTGGTGTTCAATTTATTCACCTTGTCATCCACATCATTCATCTTGGTGTTCATTTGATTTAGTTTGTTATCCAGAGCAGATAACATGTTCACAATTCCGTCCAAAGTAGTGTTTAAAATGCTCATATCTTCTTCTTTATTCATGTCCTCAGGAAAATTAACCATGTCCAAATTCAAATCCAATTCCACGGCATCCTTTATTATCTCTGTCATGGGAGCTCCTACATATCCTTCAGGTGTCACATAATACTGGGAATTTTCTGAAGTATTCATCCTTGCTTTCTTTTTTTTCACCTGTGTCCAGTTCGAAGTGCTCACGCAGAATGATCATCAAATTTTACAGTTTTTTAGTTTATATACCTGCTATGAGCCGTGTGCACCTTTTTACCTGGGCTTTATATACCTGTTCCATCATCTATAAAGGAGCCGTGTGCAAAAAACTGAGGGTCGTGTGCAAAAGAAATATACCTTTTACCTGTGTTTTCTTATATACCTGTTTGCACCCTCTATAAAGTGCCGTGTGCAAAAAGTACGATAAACTTACCTATGCATTGTGACGTCATCCACTGTATAAATACAATGTGATTATGACGTCACACTTTTTCATTTACAGTCTAGACAGCCTAGTCTAGCCAGCCTAACCAGTTTGAACTGAATTTTTTTACTGAAAGACAATAACAAATAACACACAATACAAAAAACATGTGTGTGTTATGTCTGTCAAGTTATAACACCAGGTCACTTTTTAAAAAAACTTGGAATTTCTTTTTAAATTTTTTAAACTTTTTTAAAAATTAACTTTAAATTTTTTAACTTTTAACTTTTTTAAAATAACTTTAAATTTTTTTTTTCTTATTAATTTTTTTTTTTGGTAAACTCCCCTTATAGTTTTTAAGAAATAAAATTAAAAAAAATCATGTAATACTACATCAGTGTTATGTTATTGTATGACTTCATCTTTTATACAGTCGGGTTCGGGGTTTCGGGCGGCCATAGCGAATTTCAGCAAGATTTTACCCCAGTGAAAAAGGCTTGTAATCCACAGTGTAGGTCGTTTAAAGTTGTTTCACATTGTTTATGATTGTGATTATGTTATCGCTCACCTATATGTTTAATGTCAGCTATGCTAAATAACCCATTTCTGTGTAATTTGAGAGAATGTTTTGACATGTGGTTAAAGTATGGCGTGCTATTCATGTTATCATTTAAAAAGTCGATCCTAAATAAATCTGTCTTAAAAAATACATTTTACGAATGACATTTAATATGATTGATTAGAGTATAGGTATCCATATATAAGAGATATTATTTTGCATTACATTTAAACATGTTTTTCTGTCCTGTTTGTCTGTCAATTGTTGCTTTACTTCCTTTGTAAAATGAGGTTAAATTGAGTATCACTGAATATTGTATGCTTTTTTTCAGGATCAGCTAAGATGTTGTTTCACTGGATTATTTAATTGGGCATATAATTGGATAATTCTGGTAAGTTTGTCTTTGTTTTGTTTACATTTATGAAGATCATCTTTGCATTTAATCATAATTATGTAAAGTTCTGTTTTGAATGTAAATGTACTGTATTTATCCTCATTTCATGTGATTTACAGTTGTTTAGCCTGCATGTAACTCAGAGTACATTTAATATTTCTATGATGGGTCATTCTATGATTGAATTTAAATCAGAAAAATATTCACTAAATTTTGGTAAAATACATGGTATCTTTTACATTTCTATCCCTTTTGTCTGTAAATTATTGCTTTACTTACATTGTAAAATGAGGTTAATTGTGTATCACTGAATTGTATGATTTTTTTTCAGGATCAGCTGAGATGTTATTTCACTGGATTATTTAATGGATAGACTTATTGGGCATATATTTGGATATCTCTGGTAAGTTTGTCTTGTTTTTTTTAATTGTTTATACATTTCCTATGAAGGTCATCTTTGCATTTAAGCATGATTATATGGTTAATTTAATTACTGTGTAATACTTATGTGATCTGTTGTCTCTAACTTACATTCATATAAGCACACCCTTATTTAACCTAAAATATATTAACACATGATTAAGGGATCTTCAGAATATTAATAAGTCCTTTTGTATAAATTATATGATTTAATTTCATAATTCATTATGTATGTTACCCATGGCCATGGAATTCAGACTTACTAAATGGTGATCAAAGAGATATTAATTAGGAATCTAATAAGAGAAAAGGAGGAATTTACAAAAGATTAATCCTAAGTTATTTACTTTTTGTTTTGATTCTAAATATGTGGGATATATGGCATACATATATTTTCATTTTCACTTTTGTTTCTTAGTAATGAGCTTTTCAAAAAATTAAGGACTACATGTTGTACTGTGATGATGCTAAAAAAGATGTATTTTTCTGTATGCAGTACTGACAGATATTAAACAAAATTGAATCTGCTGTTAATAAAAAATCTTTTAGTGTCTAAATAATTAATTTGATAATCATTTTATTTGTGATATCAATACAGTAATTGTGCTTTTTTTTTTTATTATCTAAAGATAACATGATGAACTTTTCTCATCTGGAGTTAATGTTAAAAACAATTTGTTTTGAGATTAAAAACAAACATTTTCATGAACTTTTTTGGCATTGTACATGTTTGTTCAATTTTTAAACATGCATTGTTTCACACAGTACTCTGTCATATTAACAAAATGGTTTTATTTTCTATACAGTCCTCAACCTGGAAGATATGTTTTGTTCCTAACCATCTATAATCCATTCTCTATGAAGTTCAGACTGTCTGCTCTTCCTTTGGAAATACACAGTTAGTCAACCAACATAGAAACACACAAACTTGAAGGTAAAGTTTCAATGAGATACAATTGTAATATATATTTATTTATTATTTTATTATTATTTTTTTTTTACATATGCATGTTTATAATTTTGAATTGATATGTAAATGATATATTTAAATAAAAAGGGCTTGGTGGTCATGGTCATTTTTAAACTATATTGATCTCCTTTAGAAGAAGAAGAAGAGCTCCATTTCAATATATATACAAAAATGCATGATCAAATTTTGAAACTAAAATGTATGAAAGTTTTCTTTGCCAAATGATAGTTAACAGCTGAAGATAGCATATCTATAGAATAAGTTAAATATGGCTAATTTGTAACCCCCCCCCCCCCCCCCAGCTTCCTTAATATCATAGTTGGTAAAGATAGCAAGTTTTGACTCCAATTGCTGATGAATTCTGAATTTCCCATTTAATATTAACATTATATCACAGGGAAAGAATACTATAATGTAGCACATCAGGATGACCAGAAAAGAAATCTTAATGACCCTCTTAACTATGTATAAAGACTGTAACCTTATAACTGATGTAAGATAATCTGATTGTGTGGAATTAAAATTCCCTGGTGTTTCTACTACCCAAGATCTTCTTATGAGTGCATGGGACTGTTGTAAACCTTCTCCTGTTTATAAAAAATATACCTTGGAGCATGACACTTTATTCATAAAAGGTACTTTCAATATCATTTCTATGAGTTTTTGTTCTTTCTTTTTAATAATCTAGTGTTATATCTCATTTAAACCCATTAATATGTATGCTTCCAAAATCTTAGATCTGTCTGTATAGTTTTTTCAGCTCTTTGAACACAAATACCCTGATTCAATCTTTTGAGGTAAACATGATAGAGACATCATAGATGATTATCAGAGTGTGTATCACAATCTTAACCATAAGGTCAATTTAAATGGTCTAAGGCACAACAAATGAAAGTGAAAACTTTTTTTTTTTTATTAGAATACATAATTTTGTAATAAACAAATACTGGAAAAGTTACTCTCATAATAAGCCTTAATGTCCTCCAAGAGTTCAGTTTGGACTTCCTCCATTAATCCTTGTATCTTCTCCAATGGTTTTGTGGGCTAAAATTCATGTGTCTTTAACAACATTTTTTTTCTGACAATGTTTTCTCTTATCATCTATAAACTTGACTTCTTCTCTAGTCAAAGGTCTTTCAGGGTAATCCAAGTAATTCTTACCCTCTTTTGGTAATAAATGGTTATATTCCTCATTGGCTTCTTCTGCAATCAAGGGTCTTTCTATGTAATCTCTGACAACATTAGGATCACCCTTCTCTGGACTTAATTAATTATATTCTTGTTGGGAAATGATCTCAATAGTGCCATCTTTTTTTATTTTAACTGGTATACCTCTGTCTATATCTTTCTCTGAAAGAACTCTCTTTCCAAACTGAATTTTACTCATTCCTTTACTCTTTTCTTTACTGGAGGTGTTACCCATGGTTAATATGAAAAAGTCAAAATCTTATGTTACAACTTGTATTTATACCCTTTTTGTCTATATTTAGAATTCCATCAAGCTTATAGTACATTACAATTTTTTTTTTTCAACTAAGACATTTTTTTTTTATTTTTCAGGATTCTCTAGTGAGGGCTTATGGAAATGATCTATGTCTACTCTCAGAATGGTGAAAGACTATCAGATTATGCAAAGACTAACAGAATATCCTCTCTTGGAACACTGAAACAAGAAAATCAAACAGGAGATGGATGGAGGATTTAAGAAGCACATAGATAAATATGATTTCCAACGAATTTAACCAGTATTATCATAGACTGTGGTTTACAGGATGACAAAGTAACAGGATTGTATCATTTTACTGTCAGACACTGACTATGGATAAGATGTACCCATTTATTAAACTGAGATCTAGTCAAATCAAGTACAATTGTATTGAAAAAATGATTTTCTGATAGCATGAACTCTTTAAAAATTAATTCTCACAGACCTCAAAGTATCTGAATGTGACTTTTATTTTTACCAATTTCTATTGAAGACTGTTGTTATGTATGAGAAGTATACATTTAAATCTTTTATTTTTCATCTTATTTCTATAACCCCCTAGAAATTACACAGATATTCAGATGCTGGATTTAATATTATTATTTAACTTTCCTGGAATGGTAAATATATTTTGTTTGTGTATGTATCATTTTTTAATTTTGAATTTAAAATTGGTCTCAATAAGACCCCCAATAAAGATGCAAGTGTCCCATAATCTGTGGTTTAATAATATCTTGAATATCTTTATCATATCATATTCATCATACTAATTACATATAGAATGTTTGTAGGAATACACTTTGTTGTTTAGGACACTTTGTCAAGGTCAAAGCATAAGATTATTGAGATGACTTCTTTGACAATAATTTGTAACTTACAAACTTCACATCATAAGTACACAGATGAAGAATCAATAAGATATTTCTATAGATTTTTTGGATCATTTACTCCTGGGTAAAAGTTAGTTACTAACTGAGATTACTGATTTGAATCCTGTAATGCAATAACTTAAACATTGTGTGATAACTTATAGACTTTATAAAAATTAGGTGCAAATTCTTAGGAAAGGATTGAAATGTAAATCATATGCACTATGTTCAAGGATGTTTATATGACTATTACTATGTAATACCTTAGAATTCTGTAAAAAATTTATTATCACTGCGTAGATAAAAAAATAAGGTTTAGGGAAAAAAGTCAAGAATGTGGATATGACTTTTATTCAAATGGTGCAGCAACTCTGGTGATTTACATACCTTCAGTCATAAATACATGTAGATAGGTATTTGGAAGACTCCTTTAGATTTTGAAATTTTTAATTCAAAAGTATAGAATTTAAGTTTGAAAGATTAAATGGCAGCATATCATTTGCTTGTGAATTAAAAAAATAAATCCAAACATATACATCTTTGGATGATAATTGTAGCATTTTATCAATTCCTGGACTTCGGTCTTGATATCATCCTTTAATGTCCTTAAAATTTTAATGACTGTCTTTTAGTTTTAGTTGAATTAGTTTCTTTTCTACATGTGAAAATGACATCATCCAAAGAAGTTCTTCATCTGCATGTTATATGAAGAAGACAATTTTCATCACAGTGAAAGAGATTGTTTTGTTAAACATATTGCATTGATGCACAAATATACTTTTAGATTTTTAATAGCTAGGGTTCATATTTCTTAATATGGAATGCTAAGTACTGTTGATTTCAATTTTTTTTTTTTTGAACAAAGACATACTAGTAGAAAAAAAAATGTACATGATGTGTTAGAAAAGCATGTGTAAACCTGATGACTTTATATTTGCTGATTAATTCAATTATGAGTTTCATCTTTTTTACATTGTAAACATTTCTAAATAGGGCACACACCAGAAACTCTTAAAATTATTATATCAGGGTTTAACACAACAATTCCAAATGATTTTTGGACGCTTTTCATGTATCAGAAAGACAAAACAGAATGTTTGTTCACAGATGTTCCAATGGAAAACAACCACAAAGAAATGATTTGTAATGTTCTTTATGTGATTCATATAAAATGTATTTTAAAAGTGTACCCTAACATTTATCTTTTGCATTTATATTTTTGTAAAGAATTTCTCATAACTTTGAAAAAGTAGTCTTATTGTATAATATGGGTAGCTTAAAATCTTGTAAACTTGAAAGTTGTACATGATGTGTTACACATCTTACATATGTAACCATTTCATTTCAGGGTTTTCAGCATATATTGTAGTTTTGTCTTAAATTTGTTTGCTTATGTAATCAATAATTTGCTAATACTCAACTCAAATTAGGTAATGCATGAGAGAATAAACAAGAAAATCAGGTTTAAAAAATGTTTTTACTACAAAGGGGTTAATCCATAAGTAAATTCAGTCTATACATTTAAGGTATTGGTTTATGAAATAAACTTACATATGAACATTGTAAGACAATTGTAATCATTAGTTTAACCAGTTTTTTTTTAAAAAAAAATAAATAGATTCACTGTCAGCATGTTATTTCTTGTAAAATAAATGAGAAAACAATTTTATTTGAGTCAGTTTTTTTTAATGTAAATAAAAAAGCATTGGAAGTTGGGAATATTTCACAAAGTTAATTAATTTATACAAAATTTGTTATACATAAGTGAATAGAATTGGGCACCAGGCAAAGCCTATTTGAGCCCTCTTTCTAAAGAGGGTAATTGAGCATAATTCTCACTAGGGTAGTTGGAATATTTTGATTTAAGCATTAAAAAAACTATTTCATATTGAAATATACAAACCATGTTTAGTCATGCAGTATATAGTTTACACTTGACAAAATGTAAACCTTATCTCTATTCAGGGTCAATCCAAAGGTCAAAAAGGAATGAAAAAAAAAATTTCTCTTTATGTATCAAACATGCAGGTATTATTGCAATAAATTCACTGTATTCATTTTTTGTTCTCTTTCTATGTATGAATAGCTCTGATTTAGGCAATCAAAGCAAAAATGTCAAATGAGTTATGTCAAATGATGAAGGTATGGACACCAGAAATTAACATGGACAGAGAATTTTGAGTTTCCCTCAAATATGGCTGCCAAGTGATGTGAAATAAAAACAAAATGTGGATTCATCTATTAGGATTGTACATATTATGAATGATGGACACTATGACATTAAGAATGACATGAAAGAAATAAGTTTGATTCAATTATATGAACAGTTTAATCCATACAGTCAAAATGGAGGAAAAAAATTTCTTTATTAGGCATAAAGTAACAAACACTCACCCAATGCATCAGAATTTTACTTTTTTGAAGAAAAGGAACCTTACTTACTTTGTTGAGTTGACATTCCTATTTTTTGTGTTTGACAGGTAGACTATAATGGTTTCTGACTGGTATAATGAGAACTTTTTATTTAAGAGTCATCAGATTGTTCTGATATTTTGGTTAAGATTTCTGCATGACATCAATTAATTTGTTCATACAAAGGGATAAAAGCTTTTCCAGGTTTCCTCTTTACCCAGATTAGATTGTATCTTGTTAATATATCCAACATATAAGATACTCATCAAAGTCAAACAAAGGTAAATAAATGACCTTATTAAGTTTTTAGTCAAAAGGTCAAAGAGATGTGGACATCTTGTTTAATTGTTTAGTTTATATTCATCAAACTTCATGGATAGGTTAATTAAAAAAACTTCATATATTTTAAATTTTCAGGTCAAAGATCAGCACAATTTTTGCTATACCATTGTTGTCCATGAATATCTTAACACCTCAATATTGACTTTTCAGGTTAAAGGTTAATGTATTTCTGCTACAGTAAAAACTTCATGATAAGAATCTCAGAGTGATATTTTTTATTTGTAAGGAATAAGGTATAAAATCTCCTACTCTTTCTATAAAATGTCACTGAATGTGCTCCTTTATTTTTTAAAGAGTTTTAGAAGCAAAATCATATACTGACTCTCAATCCTTCAAAAACACAATATGTATATTAAATCTTGAGATTCAGACTTTCAGACTTTTAGGCTTTCAGTTTTAAAAACTTTCAGGCTTTCAATCTTTAAAAAACTTTCAATCTTGAGGACTGAGTATTTTAATATTTATTTTGTAAGTCTTGTCTTTTATGTCATTACTATTAATCCTTAGTCATTCAAACTTTTCATATGTGTAAAACCAAAGTGTTGAAATACAGTGTTTGTGTAATCTTCTTCATGTTTATCTTAAATTTCTGCTTTTAATACAGTCAAATATAATTTGTGATGATCAAAATTTACAAATTGCCTGACCTATACATATTTAAAGTTTCAATATCATACACTCTTGAATATTAATAAATATCAAAATATAATGATTCAGCATTAGCTATCATCCATACACTTGTTAACCTAAGGAAATGATCATAAGTTTAACTCATGAAATTCTTCATGCAATTTTGAAGAATCTCTGTTATAAAGGATGGTAAAGACAAAAGATCCATACATTTCCAAGTAGTCATAATATTTTAAAACTATATATGTACACATTTTAAATTAAGGAACATTGGAAGAAACCTTTTCCTTTATAACTCATGACATTTCATGCAGATAATGGCTATGATATGTAAATAATCTTTTTATGAAAAGAGAATGGTGTAAAGTTACTCTTACCCCACACCCAAGGGTAGAGGGAAGGGGGGTGAATCCCTTTCTTTTTTTTTTTTTGTCCAAGGAAAACCTGAATTTTAAAGTTTAAAAATGATAAAATTGAATTAAATTAATAAAATTAATTTATTTTCTAAAAGTTTCTTTTTTTAAAATTTGAACATTTAAATTTTTTTTCCTTTTGATTACCAGGCTGTCTAATAGGTAAACTGCATAAAACTGAATACAGATCATTTAAAGTCTTGCATTTTTTATGGCAAATCATTAAATAATGGTATAATATATATATATAAACCTCAGCCATACATAAACAGGGAGTGAAACTGAAAAGCCATGCAGGTTTGCATTCTTAATCTTATTTTTTTGTTTACTATATGTATGACTTGTACCACTCCAATTGAATAAATAAATAAATTAAAAAAAAAAAAAATAGGCTATCCTCTCCTTAAGTTTTCTGTAACCATTAGCACACTCTCAATAAAAACAGCACCTTTTAGAAAAAAATTATGGTTTTTTTTCCCTGTTTTATGTTAGACAGACTTATTTTCTTTGAAACTGTGTTCATGTGAAATTGAATCCTTTTGACCTTATATACCTTAAAATTGAAGAAGTAAAAAAAAAATTATACCTGTTTAAAATGGATCACCATGTTCAGTGAGATACTTTAGTGAGATACTTTAGCAACAAAAATACAGGACCTGTGACCCTTCTATTTATAACAACACTTTTTTTTAAAAAAATTCTAAAATTTATTCAATGATTTACACTTCTATTTCTTCTTCTGATGATCGGTCCTCAATCAGTCGCGTCAACACCCCAGGTCCTTTGTTTTCCATCGAGTCTTTAATCTGGGAAAAAGGGATGCGACAATACACGTACTCTGTAGGACAATAATGAGGTGGAAACGTCAGTCCTTTTTTCTCCATCTTGATATAATATTTCAGACAATCTCCAATGTCCGAGAACCATGAACTTTCATTCCGAATGGTGTTGATGGGTGTCAGAAGATTCCTTTGAGTACAAGTAACCCATTTGTATTGCTGATAATGTTGGTTGATTTTCACCCTCACTTTAGATCCTGTTAGAGGTGGGATTTTCATTCTTTTTTCCAACCACACATTGTCCAGGGAATAGCCTGGATGATTTTCATAGAAATCCATGATGGCTCCTATTTTAGTTTTCATCCAGTCTCCTTGCATGTACATACACTGACTAATGGGACTCTCACAATACCAACGATACTGCATCTTTGGGAAAAACACGTCTGACTTGTTTCGTGTAATTTTTCAGAATGAGAGAGAGTTGTTTGTTATATACCTCTTGAATAAAGCTCCGCTTTACATATATATACCTTTACTGTAAGAGCCGTGTGCAAAACATATACGATAGACCTACGTTTTTTATGCTGACTGCACAGGTAAATACTGGCGCTGTGTGCAAAAACATAAACGATAGACCTACGTTTTTTATGTACACAGGTTTAATACTTGGCAGCGATTCAAATCCCTGATTGTGACGTCATCCTTACAAACCTTATGTATAGAGA